GGGACAGTGCTGCCCCGGGCACCCCGTCACCCGGCCCCTCTCAGCACGGCAGCGCACCCAGCCAGCGAGTGGGGATTTCAAACAGCCGGGATTTGAGGAGAGGGCAGCAGGGTGCTTGGGCATAAGCAGAGAAAATGCTCAGGGTGGATGGGTTTCAGAACGGAAAGAGAGGAAAGATGCTTTTCCCCATATGTTTTTGGAGTGAGTTTTCCAGGCTAGAGGAAAACTGAGCATTCATGTGGACAAAATACTGACTCATCTCTGTGCCAGTATTAACTGTTGGATTTACCATCCTGCTTTCCTGCTGTGTTTAAAGTCGAAAGAAACACCGTGCTTATGTCAGAAGAAATGATAGTCATGTAAGAGGGGTGAATAAGCAGCAGTTTGGTGTGCTGTGTGAATGACCAGAAAAAATGTTTCCATTTTAGGATATGTCTGCTTATGTGAAAAAGATTCAATTCAAGTTGCATGAAAGCTACGGGAATCCTTTAAGAGGTGGGCTTTTTATTTGGACATTTGTTCCTAGAACTGGGACTTTGATTAGTTCCGTTGAGGCTTTATCACCTGTGTTAACACCTCTCTCTCACTGCAGTCGTTACCAAACCACCATATGAAATCACCGAAACAGGCTGGGGTGAATTTGAAATAATCATAAAGATATTTTTCATTGATCCAAATGAAAGACCTGTAAGTACCCTGGACTTGTAACAATACTTAATTAATTATGGTGTCGTAAAGCTGTGCTCTAGGGTATTGATGGTCAAAATACATCCTATCAGCTACAGAAGCAATAAAGCCTGTTCATGAGATGTATTTAATGGTTGGCCACGTTTTCCTGGTTCTGTGCTTTACTGCTGGTGGGGCATTCGTAGCAGCTTTTCCTGTGCTTGACTTCTCTGACATTCACTAACAAGTAACCACGTGTTGCACCTGACCTGTGCTGAGGATTTCCATTCTTTGTGGCTTGCTACTTACAGGATTTTAGATTTATTTATTTATTTATTTTGTCTATGAGGTTTGGTCAAAATCAGTCAAAAAGCAGCAAAGGTACGACACTGGCATTAGCCTCTTTACTAAGAAAAACAGGTTAAAATACTTCCTTAGCTGTATAAAGCATTGGAATGAATGTCTTTCTTCCTGTCACGCGTTTTAGAGGTGTCTTGCAGGTTTGCTTACCCAGGTCTAGGTAGGAAACCCAATGACTGTATTTTAGGGGAAGGGTATGTTTATTTCTGGAAGGACTGAGTTCCTTCTGTCAAATGAACTTCAGTGATCCTTTTGTTTGAGCCTCTTTTTTTTTTTTTTGTTTCCCAAATGAGAGGAAATGTGAATTTTGTGGTTTTCTTGAATATGTGAAAAGGGATGCCAGACTGGAGAGGGCTTGCTGTGCTGTTGTGCTCAGCAGCATCCTGACCTGTGACATTGATTCCATTCAGATCCTCACCAATCTGTGGTAAAGCCGTTAGGGCACTTTTTCCTGTGTGGCAGTTCTTGGAAGGCTGCTTCTGTGCCTGTCGTGTTCTTCCTTTGTGGGGAGCCCCAGGTGGAGTGCGGTGTCGCACTCTTCCCTGGCCATTCCCGAGCCTGTTCCTGGAAGGGCAGAGCTGGGTTGCGTGTGCTCTTCCCAGGCCGTGCTCCCTGTGGCCCGCAGCTCCCGCAGCTGGGCAGAGGGCAGTAGTTCCTCCCCAGCTCCTGCCAGCGGCAGTGCAGCAACGGAAGAGCAACTCCACAGACAGTTCAGTGAAAAACTATCCACAGGCCCCCCTGGTGTCTTTCCTTGCCAAGAAGGGATTATAAGGTCATGGAAAGCACTTTCTAACCGATTAATTGGGAAAGTTGGCCTGAACTCTTTGGAAATGTTTATAAGAAGGCCTTTTTAGTAGTTCTTAGACACTAAGCCTGAGCCACTCACCCTGACGATTTTAAAGTCTCAGGAAGCCTTTAGATAGTTGGTGTGTTTAACACAGAACATTAAATTTAAGTAATTCTACTGAAGCTATAGAACATTTATTTTTGCATTCCTAAAAGACTTCTGAATCTTACAGAATTGTTTAGTGAGAACAAACACTGCTTATTGGTATATTTAGGTGAAGATTTGTATTTCCTTACAATTGTCACGCTAATAAAATTCTGTCTTTGTGTAGGTAACCTTGTATCACTTGTTGAAGCTTTTTCAGTCTGACACCAATGCCATCCTGGGAAAGAAAACTGTAGTTTCTGAATTCTATGATGAAATGGTATGAAATTTTTTTTTATGTAATCTTCACTTTCTTTGGAAGAGTGTTAGTGATATCATGTATTTTTCTCCTTTGTTAGATATTTCAGGATCCTACTGCAATGATGCAGCAGCTGTTAACAACATCTCGTCAGCTAACGCTAGGTGCTTATAAGCATGAAACAGAGTGTAAGTTGAAAATTAAAATATTTTCATTTTAGAAATAAACAATCATTGGTTTTGCTTTTAGTGATTTTTTTTTTTCTGGGCTGCAACAGTACAATGGATTTGGATTCTGGTAAAAATGATATTGTTGAGTGCAATTAGCTTCAGCTTTTGTAAAGATATTTATTTGAAAACTTGAAGTATTCTGATCTGTGTGACTGCTGAAAAGAGGAATTATGAATTTACTCAATATGAAGAGGGATGGCATGATCTACACCTAGTTTAACGTCTTTGAAATGAGTTAAAAGAGAGAAGATTAAGGCTGCTATATTTGTCGTAGTTCTGTGCAGCTCATTGGGACGTTGGCGACAAGCTAAGGTCACGCTTCAAGCACTGAGGTACAGGACAGTTAGTGCTGGTTAAGTCAGAGCAGCAACGCTCTGGGGATAGAGAGAAAGCTCTTCCTGGCTTTTTCCCCTCTGTTATTCTCTAACTGTAGGTCATTTTATAACATGCAGTATTCAGTATAGCTTATGTTCTTTGCATCCTTTTTATCTAGTTGGTTTGTATTAATATATAGCCCTAGATTTGGGCTTATCTGCACATCCCCTGACAACAAATGTCAGGTGTTTTTTTAACAGTGAAGACCCAGAGCTAGGAGTGGTTATGAGTTTGAAGCTCTACAAAGTTAGGGTTCTGATTTCCTGTTTGTCTGTTTGGTTGTGTGGGCTTGTGAGGTACTTGCATTTTCTACCTCAGTTTAGTCAGCCTTGAGGTGTTGTTATGGTTTACATGTAGAAAATGTTTAATAATTTTAATAAAGTCTTATCCAAATGTGAACTTCTTTCACTTGTAGATAGAAACTTAGTGGTTTTTTTTTTTATATATCTTTCCATGAACTGTGCTACTGAAGCAGAGCATTTTTTTTTCCCACTGCCTACAGTTATGTAATGTGTGGGATATGAAGGTATATCCATGGCCTTCCTAGATTTGTTGGCTTTACCAGCCAAAAATCTGTGCATGAACAAATTAAAAAATCGATAAACCAAATTTCAATGTCCTAATATCAGATATTAGTAAAATATCACCCCTAAATCTTTAGATACATAAGGTTAAACTCCAGTGAGACAGAGTAGAAAGTGGTCGCAGTACGTAGGAAAGGAACCAGAGGGTGGTTGAAGCGCAGAGGCGCCTCTGGAGCCATCTTGTCTAACCCCTCTCCAGACAGGGCCACCTAGAGCAGGTTGTCCAGGGCCATGTCCAGATGCTTTCTGAATGTTGCTGAGCATGGAGACTCCACAGCCTCCCTGGGGCAACTTGTGCCAATGCTCGGTCACCATCACAGTAAAACAACCAACCAACCAACAACAACAACAACAACAACAAAAAAACACAAACAAACAAAACATCAAAAGTTTCTTGATGTTCAAAGGGAACCTCCTGTGTTTCAGTCTGTGCCCATGGCCTCACATCCTGTCACAATGTCAGTTATTTTCCCCATTATATGTTTAAAAAACTCTGGAAAATAACTTCATGAATTATATAAGTCCATTGACAAAACTGATGGGCTGAATGAGGCCACAAAACAAGCTTGCTTGTTTGGTTTGGTTTTGTTTTTTTTTGTTTTAACTCCAAGGCTTTATTTGGATACCATTTGGCTACAAATCATTGAATCTCTAAGGCTAACAGTGATAGATGTTTTTTCTGGACAAAAACCATCCAAGTTACTGTTGCAAATTGTAGAAAATGAAAAACTTTTCACACTACTTAGAATATTTATTTTTCTTTATCACCACCACAGTTGCAGATCTTGAAGTGAAAACCAGGGAAAAGCTGGAAGCCGCCAAAAAGAAAACTAGTTTTGAAATTGCTGAGCTTAAAGAAAGACTAAAGGCAAGTCGTGAAACCATCAACTGTTTAAAGAATGAAATCAGAAAACTTGAAGAAGATGATCAGTCCAAAGATATGTGAGGAGTGTGGACTTTATTTTATAAAGAGCCTATACTGAAAACAAAAGGACTTCAATCATGGAATTGTGTTCTCTTCGATTCTGTAACAGAGACTACGTGAAATTCATTTGCCAATGACTGAAGTAGGTGGCAATCGACTTCAGAAATGGAAGGAAAAAGAATTTATCCTTCGTTTACAGTTAAAATCTGTGGGTACTTCATGATTAATTTTAAGTAGAAGGGACTTGGAGACCAGATTTTTTTTTTTTAAACTGCTTTTGAGTGGTGTATGAAAACTTTGTATGAAGTCTTGTATTAGTTCAATGTGATATTACAAAATGCTGGTGTCAACTTTTTTTACTTGTTTTTTCTACTGATTGTTTAGAGATGCATCTTTAAAGATGAAAATAAAATGACATTTTTTTATTTTAGTATTTTTTGTCTCTGTCCAGCTATGTGGTCTTCGAGAAAATTGCAAATAGTGTACCCTGATTTAAAGCAGAAGGTGAAATATTAACAGCATGCAGGTGGCTTATGTCTGGTTACAGTAGTTTCTGTATGTCTGTCCATTACCAGCACAGTGAAAGTTTTTTGTAAACCGGATTTTAAATAACTTGTATACAGCTAAGTATTTCTGGGCCTGCATCTGCTCTAACACATATAAATGCATCAATTTTACAAGTTATTTCGGACCTGTTTTGTAGAAGTTTTACCGTAATGCATTTATTCTTAAATGATGAGCAAATTTTCTCCAAAAAAAAAATCACTACGTGATCTTTTTGCTTGTAGCATTTTTTTTTTTTTTAAAGGAGCCTGCTGGAGATGGTGCTACCCCAGGTTTTGGAAAGGCTTTGGCACCTTTTCTACTGCTTCAGGATAACTGTTGCAGTAAACTGCTACAGAGCCAAACATCCCAAGTCCCCCTTCCCATAGAAAACAGCATTAACAGTGCTTTGAGAACAAAGCACTCACTGCTTCACATTTGAAACAATTGATGATTGGCATTTACAATGGCTTGGAAAGGATGCAGAATTGAGACAGTTTCAATAGTCAAAACAGAGACTTATTTTTTCTGTTAAAACTTGATGTATTTAGTTTATGGTATTATATGTGCACGTAGATTGAGGAACAACTTGTACTGGTGGTGTCCACACAGATCTTCCTAGCACTGCAGACTAGCCAGATTTTTCTGGCTACCTCATGGGCTTGGTTTATTGGTTCAGTAGGTAATTTCCTTGTAAGCAGTAGCTGAAGAAGAATGTGCTAGGCAATTTCAGTACAGTAGCATTTGCCATTTTCAGAGCTGTGCATTGAAAATAATATGTGCGTGGGCCATGGTATGTTATACATTTTAAGGTTGAAAGAACACTTTTTGATTAAAAGTTAAAAAAATATTCATACAATTTTCTTTGATGATACCTGATCATTCGGCTGCTTCCTCATCTTCGAGGATCAGCAGATTTTAAAGGAAAAATATTATTGGGTTAGCACAAAGTCCTTCCATGTGCATTCTCTTAGCTTCTTGCAAATTTATTCCATTTCCTGAAGAGGTTTTTAAGGTCCATTTGTGTATGCTGAAACAAAAATGGGAATGGAAAGCACAGTTTTGGTGATACTAGGTTGTACTCAACATTATTAACTTCATATTTGTCAGTTAAAATAATACTAATGCACAGTAACTTAGATGGAATATTAAATTTGTGTTCTGTGAGAGCTGAGACTAACCAGAACAGGTTTGCTACAACAGGCTTGAACAGACCACAAAAGAAGAGAGAGGTACATTTTGAATCCAACATTTTTGTAGGAGCCTAAAGTATTTGCTTTGTTCATATTTTTAATAATGTCCAATAAACAGCCTAGTATTCCACTTTATGTGAATAATCCTGGCTCCACTGTTAGTACTATCATGATGATAGACCAGTGGTGGTTTTTTGTTTTGGGGTTTTTTTTTGTGGTTATCAGGTTTTTTTCCAGTTTTTCTTTCAACTGTAAAGATCATACAAGAGTCATTAGGTTCCCCCATCAATACTAAAGCAAGAAAACTGTCCTAACATCTGTCTGTGCTGAGCAGTTACTGCTGATAGAAACCAGGAAGAATAGCTTTGGCATTACAAGGTTCCTTGTTCTGTTCTGTGTTTTCATTAGAAAATACTTTCTTCCAATGCTGAGAAAGCAGTTAAGCTCTGTGTTAATCAGGCAATAATTTAGTTCTGGAAGAAGTTCATGCAAATTAAGCACTTTAGGATTTTGGCTGGAGAAAAAAAAACAACACCCTCCATGCATTTGACAAGTGAATCTAGAACTGCCCTCTCTACATACAACCTCATGGTTCTCAGTAGGTAGGTTATGTTTGGACCTACATGTTTTGCCATTAAAAGAGTGATGCGAGTGCCCGACCGTGTGTACACAGTCCTGTAGCCTGTCGGTATTTTTGCTGTCTCTGTCCAGTGCCCTGTCCCTGTTTTTCAAGGTCTTCCTTCTCATCTCTGTAGCACATCACCAGTCTATGTCTTTCTCCATCTGTCTCACTCCTTGACCCTCATTTTGAATTCCTCCCTCTCTGTCCTGTTGCTAGTTTTTCCTTTCTCCATCTCTGTCGTGCTCCCTGTCCTTGTTTTTCTAAGTGTCTCCTCTCTGCCTTCTAGCACGTCACTATATTTTTCTTTCCCCATCTGTTTGTCTGTCTCCCTGTGTGAAGCAAGTCCTCATTCTT